TAGTCTTCAAACATTCACGGAATTATGACCAAAGGATGTGACGCGTCTAGAAACGCTAGATTCACAATTGTATGTGACATTTTTTCTGTGTAAAGCAGATATTTCCAAACCGTCGGTTACGATCTACTTGTAGCTCGCCAGGCAATTTTCGACATATTCCGAGCATGCTCCAGATTGACTAACCTGGACTTGTTCTACGAGTCCCAAACAAGTACACAAACACTCATCAGTGAACATTGAGTGAGTGTTCATCAGTGAACATTGGAACAACTGTATTCGAATGGCAGTCACAACCTACTCTCCTAACGTAAAAAACCTAATAAAGAAAAAGAGTGACATCCTTCTCATTAACAAGTTTAATGAAAAATCTGTTTTTATATATATAGTTTGGTACTAACTATATTTTATTTTGTATAATATGTAATTCCCTTTCAATTTATATTTCTTGTTCTGTGTATAATTTTATTACAATTTCTTTTATGTTTAATAAAAAAGTGTATGTTTATAAACAATAAACAAATGTTAAGACTTGAAAAAAAGCTCTCTAGGTTTCTTGACAGGTCACAGGAAGATTGAAAACGGTATGATTGCCCAAAAGCTTCATAAACATGGCTACCACTGGTGCATAGCAATGATGTCAAGGCGCTTGCCACCAGTCATGTTCTTTGGCACGAGTGGAGCATTGAAATCTCTGTTCCACCCAGATGTCCATCGATGAGGGCGGTCGTGAAATTGGAAAATTTTTCGTTCTTTTTCAGTGTAGAAAATGGCCCTCTTTTCGGCGGAACACTTTAGTTTCGAAAATTAATAAACGATTTTTTTGAGAAAATAGATTATACTTTTTTTCATTTTTGTCAACATCGTTGTAAACTGTGTTCCATGATTCCTTCAGCAAGTAATCCAAGTAGTCCATAAATAATTTTATGTTCACTTTAGTGAATGCTCTGCATATGCGGGTATAATTTGTGTCAGTGTTCATGTTATTAGTAATTGTAATAATTTGTGCATCATGGTCACTATAACCTAGTAGATTAGTAGTTTTTATTCATATGTAGTTGTGGTTTTGTTAATTATTATTTGATCTATTGCTTTTTGTGATGTAAATGTATTCCGTGTAGGTAAATTCACTGTAATATCTAAAGTAAAAGAATGCAGACTACAGAACATTTTTAGTATTGTACCTGGTCATTTCGTTCCTGCGTGTAACTGTATTGAAAATATTTCCTTGTAGCCTCTCAGAAAGCACTGTAACTCAAACAGTAGAAAATTGCGTCTAACGTATGTGATACACAGTGTATTTGACAATGGTTATACATCTGGACACACAAATCACTTCACACAGAATGCAACACACTATATCACTCTCGAAACGGCACAAAAGGTACAAGTTGCATCACAAGCTTAGCAACCGAGAAGATCCAGGAATTATCGCTTGGAATGCGGAAGTTAAAATGGACGAATGGAGTGTCCTTTTTCTGTATCGACGGAAAATGACGAAAAAATTGATTGGAAAACAATTAAATTATGCTTAGCAAAACAAATAAATCACTTCTTATTGTCATTAATTTTATGGACATTTATTTTTAAATTTCTCTTGCACATTCGCCTTTGTAGGATCAAAATAAATCTTATCCTTTGACGATCATGCTTTACTGATTACGATAACGTCATTTTTATTGAAAAACTGTGAGCCTGTACTTACTGATGTTGACATTGACATTATCTTTGACCATTGACATAAATGGCAGTGATAAGCTAGTGCCATTTCATGAAATTTTACATTTACGCCAATGCTGTGAGGTACATCTGAGGAACATGTGAGGTGATAGGCATTAGAAGCCTGGTAGTCAGACGAAAATCCGGTAAATAATAACTCCAGTCATAAGAGAAAAACATAATGTTGTTATCAAATTAATTGCAAAGAACACGTAGCATTGATATTGATGAGGGATATAAATGACGAAAAAGTGAAGTATTTGAGACTAGATCTAAAAATCAGGGAGTAGGGAGTATCGAAGGTTGTAGCGTGTTGTTAACACTGAAAAAACCTTTTTCTTTTTTTGCGAATTGGCCATCGTGAGACCACGCGATACGTTAGTCCCACCGGGGCTCAGTCTTAATTATCAGGGTAGGTGCACGTTACTTGTTTATAGGAGGGAATCAGCATGTTTAATGTCGATTCCATTTTTATACTCCAGGGTTGTTAGCTCTGGGGAATGGGATGAAATTATGATGATGATGATGATGATGATGATGAATGATGAAATAGACACACACAACATCCAGTGAAGCACACAACACAACTATACCCGAGGCGGGACTCGAACCCGCCATCCTTTGGGCTGTTGTTGTTGTTATTATTATTATTATTATTATTATTATTATTATTATTATTATTATTATTATTATTGTTATTGTTATTATTATTTTCATTTTTATTATGACTTGGCGGCCTGGAAAACGAAGTCAGATAAACAACTCTCGCAGTGCATCGTGTTTCTACCACCCACATCCCCAGCGTCATACATCGCCGTCTCTTTCCGTTACCCCACCCGGTAGTCCGTAGCCGGCGGGGTGAGGTTGGCAGGCCTGCACTCGCCAGCGCCCCTGGAGGATTTGTTCCTGGCCTGGTCTCACGCGCGCCGCATGTAAGCCTTCAGCTGTTTTGATAAAGAGCCCGCCATTTTTTTTTATTTCGCGTAGCGCCCCGCGATAGCCGGCCGGCCTGTACGCGGACAATGGTTAGACTGCGTTCTCCTCGAGCGCCACCTACACAAGGCGGCAAGCATCCGGCTAGTGTGAGGAAAGCTCGATAAGGAAGCCGCTACTGATACCATCTGGCGGCGGGAGGGTGAAGTATGAGCCGGGGATTATTTTGCGGTTGAGACATCTTGCGCGTGCTTTGTGCAAACCGCGCCTCGCTAGTGTTTTGTTTCTCGGCGGTTGCTTCTATATCCCTCGCGAGGACAAAAGCGTTTGAAATATTTGCCGCGTGGTGTGGTGAGGTACGTTTCGCGGTTTTGTCGTTCTGGGAGGAGGTCCCGGTGAAAAACGAGCTTTGTCTTGGGGGTAAGAGAATTTAATTCGCGCTTCGAAGACTCTTTACAGTTGCGCGAAAGAATTATATGGCGTGTAGCAGCAATTGTTGCTGCTTAATATTTGGCGTCAGATTAAAAATACCAAACATTTTCTTATTTCTCTGATAATTTTAATGGTTTTGCTAACCTTTGCTTTCCAAGCAATTTTTATGCACTTCACGCGGTTCTTTTTTCGTCATTTTCCGTCGATACAGAAAAAGGATACTGCAGACTAGATTTTGTCTAGGTTATCGCGTTCCAAAGGGTAGTTCGCGGATCGTCATCTCGGTCGCTAAGCGTGTGATGGGACTTTTTGTACCAATTGGAGAGAGATATAGTTTATTGATTGGATTCCCGGTCCGCATCAACGACTCAGGTCATTATTCCCAAAAGTGTAGTGCATGCTTTCATCATGGGAGCTGGCGGTGAGTTTGCATCACTAGATGGTGAGATACACAAACACGTATCTTCCACCAACGGTGCACCGCCAAAGTCGGGACAAGCTCTAAGCTCTCGACAGCTCTCCCGTCAGTGTGTTAGTTCAGTAAACGTTAGTGTACGTGTGTGTAAATAAGGGTTCAGAATGGGGTAAGGAAGAGGAAGAAAAGATCGCGCGCGGTCCGTCTGTGGCCCGTTTGTTAGGGTACTGCTCTGGCATTCGCCTGGTGTAGATCGGGGAAACCACGGAAAACCGATTAGTAGTTTACTATCCATTTTGAATCCGCTATATTTTTTATTATGATCGAAGTGGCTAATGCCTGTTGTACACGGTGATATTTTGTGTACAATTATATTATAAAAGGTTTAATAAAACATATACATTTTATAAAATTCGAGTGCCAAACGGGAAAATTCGAAATTTTCTAAAAATGCATTAAATAGAGCTGTTCTATTTCCAACGAATAGGTTTATTCAAACACAATTCGGCTTTAACCGACACCGCCGAGAGCAACGCTACTGGTGAGAGAAGTGCAAAGCTCAAATGACATCGAACTGTGCTACATTTGCGTCCGGACGTGGGTGAGGTTCGTTTCTTCGATAGATTTTTCCCTAGTATGATTACTCAGGAACCTGCATCGTAATGAGTTTCATTATGCAGCCATCAAATGACAGAATTTGGTAGACACCCTGACCACGCGCAACAGGCGCTTCGTTCGAATCTCGCGTGAAAGCACCGCATACCCCGCTTGATTCCGTGTTGAGGCTGCCGAGCAGGCGGCAATGCTGCCGCTGAGCGACGTCTGGAGGCCCCGAGAGTCACGCTTCGCTGCGGCTAAGCCCCTCGGCGTGCGCCCGGCGCGCGTCAACTGTCAACGCGCGTTGGGGCAGGGGGCAGGGGGGGCGCTTGGTGGCAGGAAACCGTTTAAGGCAGACTATCGGCTTGTGCGTAGAAAACCAGCTGTCCGTTTGTCCTTCTGGCGGTTTGGTTCAACGTCGCTCTCATCGTCTTTCCGTCTGCGCGTCTGTCCATTTGAGCGTCCGTCTTATTATATATCAGTCTGAGGCTCTCTGCGTCCGTCCGTCCTCCGTCCAGCCATCAGACCTTTCAGCCGACCAGCTGACCAGCCGTCCTACCATATGTCCGTTTGAATATATGATCGGCTGATCATATGAAAGGTAGATCACAAGAGCGACTGAAGCATGGCGATCTATGTGCGAATCGTATGTAGGTGTATGCAGTATGAACGTGCGGTCGCATGAACGCTGAAGTATGTACGTTGTGTGAACGAGTGATAATATTACAAAATGAGTGTATGAATATCTAGTCGCCTAAGTATCAGACCATCTCGTAGCTTTGAGAATACTAGCGTGTACTCCGTCCATCTGTTTTTATCCGAAAATAATATTCTTCCATCTACCTGACTTAATTTGAAGAGTACTTCAAAAGTATCACTAATTATATTTCTATACTTTTTATCTAAAATGTGGCATATTATTTCCAGAAACATCTCCCTGTGGTTGTATGGTTCTACTGATGCTGTGCTCGTATCTGCTCCAGCTTCCTGTGAAAAGCACTGGCTCCTGAGAAGTAAGTAGAATGTATATGAGCGTGCCTCTTCTAATGTATCCAAAACATCATTTTCAACCATTATTTTTATTCATTCATAAGCTGGTCTAGGTATTGTATGTATGTACATATGTTTTTTAATTCATCAAAATCAAACCTGTCGTATTGATGATGAATTAGGCATTTTGAAGTTATTTGAAACATGTTTGCTTATCCATATTAGTCCATATTTCAAGGTATAGTAAATATTTTCATATATTAAGGAAAATAGCCTAAATTTCAGGGATTTAAATATTTTTATTTCTATAAGCTCCAAATACTTTAAAAATTATTATGACCAGAACATAAATATGTTCAGTCTGATATTGAGAGATTTTAGGCAGAGAAAAGCAACACACACATAAAAAAACAAGTAGAACCATTTATTTTTCCCTCGTAACCACGGTTCTCTCAATCCCAGAAAGTTATGCAGCGTATATGGAACTCCGTGTCGAAGGCAATAACAAACTATAACGTATCAGTAAAAAATAAAACTATTAAGGTTCGTTCATTTAGTAACACAAAGATCAGTTTATTTCCGAAACGTTTAATTGAGATTAATGAATTAATGATGTTGGTGTATGGCTAATGGTAAAATTAATTTTTTAACCATTTTATTAATGAAATTTTAAAGATGAACTACCATTACTTTTGCTAATTTTTTCTATTTAGTTTTTGTGTATAGTTTGCTCATTTATATCAGCACATTTAGATGTGTTTTATTCCGTATACATTCAAGACCTATTTATAGGATTGAGGACTTTCGTTGGCCCAGTCATGTCTACCCCGCGGTATTCGAATTCGACGACATGCGTCTGTAGACACGCAGTTCGGAGACAAAGAGCGTTTTTTCATTAGGGCGTATCATTTATGAAGAGCGTAGCGTAATGCAACCGCGTAAACAACAACGTGTAAAGTCTAAAAATATATTTTGTGCAAATTTTTGTTCTTAGTTGATGTAGTTCGAAACTTCGGCGGCAGAGTGTGCGCTAAAGTCCCATTATACATCATTTCATTTGTTCCACAGAGTTATCATCCATCAACTAATCAGTATTTTTTATTTGACTGATACGTACATTTTTTTGTTATTGAAGGTCGCTTCAATTACTAGGTCAATAGTGACCACTATTGCGTGTAACTGTATGGTAAATATGAGGATGACATGATGTGAAGATGATAGGGAGTGAAAAGACGAACACAATACAACCATGCCTGAGGCGGGACTCGAACCCGCGATCCTTCGGTCCGAGATCGCTACGGCACTACTGCCTTGGCGATCTCGGCCATCCGGATATTGCGTACATTCTTAAATAAATATTACAAACATTACTTATGTACAGATAACTATATATGTGCGTTAGTTCCAAGAACATGATGTTGCATCATGGAAATGAAGTGTTCCCAGCACGCTCTTGTGGCCCCGCCGGAAATAGATTCCACACAGAGCGGCCGAGTGATCGATTAGTGTTGTCCCGTTCAATCCGATGGACGAGAGAGCTCCACTATCACTTCGACATCGAGTATGCACAGGGCTCAAACGCTGTGCACGCTGTGGAGTGCGCGTATGCGCAAAAGGCCCAAGCGCGGTGCACGCCAAGGTGCTTCGCGCCAGTCAAAAACGCTCCGTGGAGCCGCGGGCGCCAGTCGACCCGCACGTGGCGCAATTGCCACGTGCGACGTGCAGCGCTTCCTTCCCCCCTCCACTCACACACCCCCTCCACCCACACCCACCGCTGCTGCCGCTGCGGGACGCGCGTTCTCCGCACGCACAGTGGCCGCACCGATGGACCTTGGGGAACACCACCTTCGGAGAGATTTTGAAGTACCGTAGCACCCTTATAATCCGAACCAATTTTGGGCGCGGTCTGTACGGATTATTAGAAAAAATGTACCAAATATATACAAACGCATTACCACGCAATGAAACGTAGCATAGCGAGAAATAAGTAAGCAGATTCAGTTCATTACGGCAAAAAAATTACTGATTCAGCATGTTCCTCTATTTGAGAATTACAGCTACGAAAACATGTGTTATATGTCGTAGTTACCAGTGCAATAACGATTTAATTTCGACAACTTGTACTTCAATAATTAGTTATTCGTTGTAGAGTGATTATAAAATCCGTTTTTTCACTACAAATAAGCATTTTAATTATTTGTTTATTTTTCCTCGATTTCGGATTCGCGGGGCTCGGATTAGAGAGGTTATACTGTACTACGTTTGTGAGTTTGAAAAATAATTTTAAGAAAAGATAACTTTCTACAATCACGAGGAAAAGGTGAACATATAACCAATGCCAAAACTAGTACTGAAAATTTCGTAAAATTACAAATGTGTATGTAATTCATATTGAACAACTAACAAAAGAGTGTGATGAAGACAACCACTACACTTATGGCACTCATGCCGATAGGCGTTGTCGCACTAGGAATCCCTAACATAGACTCACAAAAAATAAGTTGTCAGAACCAAAGATTTGATTTTATGTTTCTCGCTATATATTTAGACGTGCTGGATGCGAATCTGAAGCTAGAATTGCACCATCACCTTCCAATTTTATTTTAAATCGCGGAAAAACAGCGTTAAATTGTAGACTGTAACTTCGAGGGTGATTTTCTGGAATTTGAAACAAACTGGAGGGCAGTAGTGCAGTTGTGGCTTCAGATTCAGATTCAGCGCGTTGACATACGAAAAAAGACACGCGTCAAGTCCTTGGGTCTGCCAAGTTGTTTTGCGTGTGCGGGTGTAATGAGAGAATCTTCGGTGAGCGCTTTCGCTTGAGGAGCGTTGGCGCGTGCGCACTGTGTGGGCCGGGCGACTGCCTGGCGGTGGTGGGCGCGGAGATTCCTGATTTGCTTCGAAGGCAAGCTTGCAAAGGCGGGGGCGTAGGCGGAGGTGGAGGCAGAGGTGAAGGTGGCGGAAGCGGTGGCGTTGGCGGGAGAGGGCGGTGGGGTGGTTGTGGAGGTGGCGGCGGCGGAGGCGGAGGCAGTGGCGGCGGAAGTGGGGGCGGGGGCGGTAGCGGCGACGACGAAGGCAATGTTTGTAGGCGGGGCGCTGACAGCAGCGGAGGCAGAGACAGAGAGGTGGCGGAGGCGGCAGCGGTGGCAGTTTTTGAGGCATAGATGGAGGCGAAGGAGGCACAGGTGGAGGCGGCGGATGTTGTCTGGGGGGCGATGGAGGGGGACGGTGGAGGAGGGGTTGGCGGTGAAGGCGGGAGTGATGAAGACGGAAGCGGTAGTGGAGACGGCCGTGCATGTTGCGGTGAAGGCGATGGCGCCGGCGGCGCCGGTGGGAAAGGAGGCGGTGGCGGTGGAGGCGGGGTGGTATCAGTGGTGGGGGCGGCGATGACCGTGGGTGAATGATGACGCGGACACAGGCGAGCGGCTCCCATCGCCCGCCCCCCCACGCCCCCACCTTTAACATTTTGTTCCTTGTCGCTCACCGAAGTACAGCGGACACGATGTGCAATATGTACCTATTCGCAAAACTAAATTACATCTAACTTGAAGACCCGTTAATTGCAGGGTATTAAATAAACACAATTGAAGTGAAAAATCAGTTAATTCAATGAAGATAAACTATGTATATCTTCATTGAATAAATATAAAATATGTATTAGATGAACTTTCAAAATTCAAATACTCGAATATTGTTCACTTCCAGTACTCGGCTGATACTTCCTGCATTCTAGATCGCCACTTCTAGATCACAGTTAAAAATATCTTCACTTTGCGGAAACAACGCCCCACATTTCTAATTTAATTTAAAACACTTTTTAAATACCTCAAATACTAATAAGAATAAAGTGTCGAAATTTCATCGAAATCGGTCGAGTCATTTTTGCGTCTATATGCAACAGACGACAATCATCTACGCACATTCCCTTTTGTTTATAGATATACAATTTTTATATATGTATATATGTCGTACAATTAATAATTTCCATTCTTCGACTCGAGGGCAACTTCCCGTTATGCGTCCTCGTAGTTCGATTCCCGGTCGGGGCAAAAATAGAGTTGTAGCCTTCCTTTAAAATCATCTCAGCTTGTGCATCTGATGACAAATAAAAGCTCTGGTAGGCGTAGTTCGCTAGTTACGGCGAAGGGAATACATGTTCGTAAGTGTATCTCTTACCCGCCTGCCCCGGGGTGGAAATTAATTAGATCCAGGTGCGATAGACGTAGGCGATGGAATGAGAACTAAGCAGAGACTATACATAATAGATTACAAAATTAGATAAATGCTAAAGATAAATGCACTTTAAAAGGTTTTTAACATGGTTTGTTCCGTTTAGTGACTTCTATAAAATGATGTTATATAATTCTTTTGTTTAATTATGACCATTGTTTAAAATAACGTATTTATGGGTATTGACAGTCTAACTCCTGCCTGAAGATGGAAATAATCATTTCCGAAACGTTGCTACTTATGCATTACATTTTTTTGTATAATGTAATCATCTTGTAATTTATGTAAAACTGTTATTCTGAAAACCATTTTCTGTCTATAAAATAAGTCTGAGAATAGTTGTTAAATCTACAGACAGAAAAATTTAATAATTTAATACTGACTGAGAGCTGAAAATGAAACAAAAACATCTAATCACGTAGACAACGAACTCCCTTTAAATATCCGGGCCTCATTTCTTTGAACACTGCCATGGCGATCCTTTCCCTACTAGGACGTTAGCAACTAAAAGTTGTCCGCATTCAAGGAATTATGGACTTATAGGATTGAATAAAATTCACTAGAAGTTACGCCTAGTTCTCATTCATGATTAATGCTCGTTAACAAAAGCACTTGTAGTAGAAGGACGTGCCAAGAAGTACAAAAAAAAACAGTGTCCAGAGTTTGTGTAAAGTGCCTCTTTCGTGACTTAAATTGAGTGACCCAAGTTCTTTGCCTTTTACGGAGAATCGCAGGCGCCCTGGAACAGACAATAGGAAAGATGGGCTTGCGGAAGCGTTTGGCAAAAGTTGCTCTGAAGAAGTTGGTCTGCTCACTGTGTGCCACAATGACGATAAATGCGAGCAAACATTTATTTTTTACTGATTCGCAGTGCTCGCATTCAGATGACATAATATTTTCATTGCTGCATTGTATTCGTAGAAAACTTGTTAATAAATATTTATCAAGACATATAGAAGATAGAGAGGTATCGTTATTGCGTAATATGTGCAATTTTTCAACGAGGTCATTTTTGTCATTTTCATGCTTTTTGTTAGTACACGTTTCATGAATTCACAATGACACACTAAAAACTAAGTTTTTACTGTATCATCACTTAATGACGAAATTCACTACTGCAGTGGACTCCCAAAATTACACGATATCCTTCTTTTGTAACTTCCTCGATCGTTCAAAACTGACGGTTGGAAAAGGGGTCTAGTGATTATATTATCTCCTAAATAAATACTTTATATATATATATATATATATATATATATATATATATATATATATTTATATATAAATAAATTGTCTTTAATAGTGTAAAATTCATTGAATGAATAAATATTTACATACTAATATTTGGGTATATATTCTCATGAGTCATTTTATAAATATTTTTCTCTTATTTTTAGACATTTTATAGGTTATTTTCAAAAAATTTTTAGGTCTTAATATTCCGAGTCCTGTTTTTGCTTGTTTTCACCTTCGATTCGGAATACGATATGCGCTGTATAACTTACCTTGATCGACAGAGTTGGATTGCGAGGGAAATATTAAAAGAGTTGAGTGATGATAGATATTCTCTTATGAAGGGAATTATTAAAAACATACCGATTCAAGTTAACATCTATTTAATTAGAAAATAGGTCAATCTGAATCATTAAAACTACTTAAAAATAAAATTATGTACATACTTCTGACGTTAACTAGTTCTAATTATCTCGACCAACAAAAAGCCTTCAAGCACAAGGTCTGAAGGTCGGAAGGTCGGAAGATCCGAAGGTCTGAAGGTCGGAAGGACTACAGGCCTGAAGGTCGGAAGGTCGGAAGGACTACAGGCCTGAAGGTCGGAAGGTCGGAAGGTCGGAAGGTCGGAAGGTCGGAAGGTCGGAAGGTCGGAAGGTCTGGAAGGTCTGGAAGGTCTGGAAGGTCTGGAAGGTCTGGAAGGTTGGAAGGTTGGAAGGTTGGAAGGTTGGAAGGTTGGACGGTCGGAGGGTCGGAGGGTCTGGAAGGTCGGAAGGTCTGGAAGGTCGGAAGGTCTGGAAGGTCGGAAGGTCTGGAAGGTGTGAAGGTCGGAAGCGAACCCCTCAATTGAATCGTTTGTTTCAGAAACTCACCAAACACGAACATCTAAAAAACGCGTTTGCGACAGAATATTGTTCCAAAAGGAAATACACATCGTTTAGTGAATATTTACGTGAAACATATTCATTAATGCTTCAATATTTAAAAAATAATTTTGAAATCAGAAAAACTTGTAGTCTCTTTCTGGAAATGAGGAGTTTAGCGTTTCTGACACAAACGATTCGATTGGTTTGTGGCCGTCGCGTGGAGCTGTGGGCCAGTGCGGGCTGGCGAGAACTGGTCCGCAGGGCAGGGCCAAATGCGGCGAAGCAGCGACCTGCACTTTCTGGGTCTGCGGGTCACTGCGCACCTCCTGTCCACTCCCGGATGCCCCTTCCACGTGCCACGTGCACGTCTCCGCCTTGGGAGGGATTCAAAAATTCATCGATGAAATAGAACACTTCTTCGTGATTGTCAATGTATTTTTTCTTAAGAAATTAATATTAAATTATTATTACTAATAAAAATTAATACAACTTCCCCGGGGCATTGTGGTGTCCGTTTAAATTCGTTAGTTCTTTTAGAACACCTTCAGGTTGTGATACACAGAGAAGTTCACAATAGGTCATCTAGTGTTCTAATGTTGAAACTTTTATACTGGTGACTATTTCAGATGTAACACAACAGGACAATATTTGTCTCATTAAGTAACCTGAAGATGTAATTGAGTATGTTGGGAAACGTGATAATAAAGAATTAACATAAAACATTCGATAATTTTTATTAATAAAAAATCGATTGACCTGGAAAGAGATCGCTGTGTGAATTACTACAGAATTGCAGAGGGTAATGATTCGTTTTATTTTGGGAAGTGGAGAGGGGGTATCATCGAAAAAATCTTCGTTTCAAATGGGCTACTGCTGGAATGAGATTATCCTTCAGTAAGGAGCGCATCAAACAGCATACAATCGCACACGTATTTCGTACCCGATAATTATCGCACAGATAGGAATGTGTACGAGGAAACAGAAGGGATCTCCATTCACATGTACGTTGTGATTGATTGTTAGTGATTCTGGGCGCGTAAACTCGTGAGATCATTAGTCCCGTAAATGTAGATAATGTTTTTGATCGGGAAGTAGCGGAGGTCCTTTTCCGCTGTATGGCGCGATCCGGTGCCTACCGTCTGCTAGCGTGGTTTTCCCAACCAGGTATCTCCCACCGGCAGGGCACCGCCCCAGCCGGAACAAGCCCTAAGCTCTCGACCGGTCTCCCGGCATGTGTGGTAGTGTCGTGTATGTCAGTGTAATTGTGAGTAGGTGAGGGGTGAGGGTAGGACAAGAAGAAGAAAATATCGTGCGCGGCCCGTGCCTCGTTTGTTAGAGTACTGCTCCGGCATTCGCCTGGTGTTGATCGGAGAAACCTCGGAAAACTGCCGATCAGAGCAGCCGGCCTCTAGAATGCTTCTCCAGACTGCGACTGAATTCGACCTTGGTAACAGTGTGGTAAATCCTGCCACCGTGGGCAGTTGGACCCTAGGACCTCCCGGTCAGAGGCACTGCAGTGACATCAGCTGATGCCCTGAGCCACCTCTTCCTGTACGAGTACGCCGTAAATTGTGCTTAAGCAAGTCTCCTGTGGCGACAAATGAATGAAAGACGTTGCCACCGTCTGAAGTTCATCGCATTGAACGTTTAATTAAAAAGAAAGGAATTTGAAAAACTTCATTATAAATGTCTTGTTCCACACCCGCGGCTAATTATCAATAGCACGACACACTCAACATTAAAGAGGATTCCCGCCATCTTCTGTAAGCAATATTTCAGTAGCTTTTTCTTATACGTGTCTTCACAGCTTTCATAACTTTAAAGAAATATATTGCTTCTTCTTCCTATATCTCACATTCTGTCTGTGTATGCATAATATTGTCGTCAAAAATGTTATGCAAAATGATGTACCCAAATTTATGATTATTAAATCTGTCTCTAAATATATGTTTCGTGTAGATTGTAGAAACAAATGACAAGTTATGTCGTTCTATCCCTTGATGACATGTTCGTTTAATTCGTGTGTGGGATAGGAATCTTGTTAATTCTCGTTGAGAAAATAACGGAATAAGTGAAGTTTTGCGATGATTCATAGTAAAAACAAATAAAACACTGTTGTTGTAATGCACTCGGGCAAATTATGCTTCTCTCCCACACGTCGCATCATTTTCACTGTTTTTTTATTTATAACTTTTAAACCTAACGTTTTGACAGCAAGAAGCAATATGTAATGCGTATGTATTTACATCGGTGACAGTTTGTCGCAAGACTTAAAGAATGTTCATTATAGAAGTTTCAATATAACCTTAAACAGTATTTATTCACTCATTCTTGACATCATTATTTCTTAGAGATACATTAGAAGAACAACAGATAATTTTTACTAAGAAAATTACATGAATTACCTTTCTTTAGTGCTGCTTTTACCATCTACGAGAAACAACTGAGGTACAGTCATTGTTTCGTCCGGGTCTGAGACGGTTGCCGACTGTACCCAGAAGAAGTGAGCAACGACTTCGAAAGTCGATCAGAAGAACGCATTTTTCGATACATACGTGCAGATGTCATTAATGAACTAATCATGATAAAATAGCACATACTTTCTCGCCCTTATTTTCAGGCAAAATTATGTGAAAAGTACTAAAAATTTTGAAAAATTGTACATGACTCAAAACCTATCCTTAAGGAACAGATTTCATTAAGGAAAAACTCTCTTGTTTTAGCTGTAAGAATACGCCGAAAAAAAATTGAACTTCTGAAAGTTTCGAAAAAACACGAGTGTTCAACGAACAGGACACCTGCATCATTCTCTTAGACCTTTACACTATCCAAAAAAAAGTTTAATAAAAACCGGTGGAGCTATTTTTTTGAAAATTTTGAAAATGTTCCAGAAGTTACATTTAACGTACTCCGCAAAGGTGAAATATCTGTTTCAAATTCAAGGGTCATCACCCAGATCGTTTGAGGAATATCCATTTTGGAGAAAAACGGCTGAACTGTTTAGTCGCTAGCGTTGTTCTCAGACGGACGAACGGTCGTATTATTGGCCGTCATTCTAGTTTTTTGTACCAAGGACCCACAAAACATAAATTCTGGCTACACCATGTGTTGGAGGAATTTTTCAAAATTTAGCAACTGGATTTATCTACTTGTACGTTACCAGGGCCCTGTAATAAGATGTTTTCTGCCGAAAACTCGCCCCGGCTATGGCGCTGTCCCGCGGGGGAGGCACCAAAAGAAAACGAATCGCTAGTCGACGTGTATGTCGTTATTGGATTCCACTTTCTCGGCCACTGTGAAACACCGCCGCCTTCTTGAATAGAATATTCACAACAACAACAGGACTTTTTGCGGTAGCGATGAGGCGACAAACACGAAAAAATATAAACAAAGAATGAACATCTAACAAATTGTATTGTTCACTTGATGCAATTGAAAGTGACATCTGTAATTAGAGTATTTTGAAATTATAAAATTGGTGTGGTTATGATTTACAATTGGTAAGCTATCGCATGTACATGGTAAATTGTTTAATTAATATGTGAACAATGTTTTATCCAGTTTTGCATCATTATATCAAACCTTTTATAACTTTAATGTACATTATGTTTCAGTACACTTCGACAAAGAAACCAAAATAGGTTTCGAAACGTTGGGTCAATAAATATTAAAACTCAAACACAAACTGTCTATAGATAAATGATGGACCATTCTCCTAATACAAGTTATACAGATATTCTAGGATACTAACCTATCTTTTATCTTCCGTGCAGGAAAATGAGTTTATCAATGAGAACGGTTCACTAATACAATGCTAGACAAAAAAAATATCTCACCATTATTAATTTCTGAAATTGCAGATATGTAAGCCTTTGGAGATTTCAATGGTCTAGTAGAAGAGAAACCTGACAGAAAATAGATAATTTCCTGAGGTCCATGTGTATTGAGTCCACAAATAGAAATGCTATTTTTTCTTAAAAAGTGTGGAAAGTATTTTTTCATAATTACGTTCGATGGCCTACTAGGGACTGCGGATCTAGTCGCAGTGCTGTCACCGCGTTGGCGATGACAGACGCGGTGGCGTCGGCTGCGGCCAATGACAGGTGACTTGAAAGCGGCGCGCTGGCAACGGAGGGGGGGGCGTAGGTGGAGGAAGCGGGGTTAGGGGCCGCGATGCGGTGGAGTGAAACTTGGCGGGGAGTGTAACGTGGAAAATGTAGACAAGGTGAAGGATGGCGGAGCGGGGCGGATCGGTTCGAATCGGACCGGACCGGACCGGACCGGACCGGACCGGACCGGACCGGACCTGACCTGACCTGACCTGACCTGACCTGACCTGACCTGACCTGACCTGACCTGACCTGACCTGACCTCACTGGACCGCACCGGACTGGACCGGAGAGGTGGCTCAGGACATCATTTGATGTCTCTGCAGTGTCTCTGATCGGGAGGATTTAGGTTTGCATTCGGACGGTAGCAGTATTTTCGTCACTGGCATCGTAGCTAGGTGGAATTCAAAAAGCGCTCTCTGGAGGAGAATTCTCGCTGCCGGCTGCTCTCGTCAGTGGTTTCTCCGATAAAAACCAGGTGAATGCCGGAGCAGTAACCTAACAAACGGGTCGCGGACCGCACGCGATATTTCCTTTCTATTCCTTTTTCTTGTCTCATCCCTTACACTAAAATGCAGTACACCACCACGCATGCGGTACAGAGGCCGGTCGGAAGCTGAAAGCTTCCGCTTGTGTGATACACCTTGTGGTAGGTCGGTGCCGGATCTCGTCATCCAGGCGAGAAAGACCACCGCCACCTCTCGATGAAACAAACAGGACTAATGACCTTAGTAGTTGACGTGCACGGAATCACTAACAATCAATCGGGTCGGGTGTGATCGTGTTGGAGATGGTGGTAGTTGTCCATGGCGGGGAGAGGAGAGGAGAGGTGGGGCAAGACGGTGCAGTGCGGCACGATGCGTGGCATTGCGGGGCGGGGCGTGGCGGTGCGGTGCCGGGTGTAGCGGAGTTTGGCATGGCGGGCCGGAGTGTGTTGGGCCGTGAGGGGTCTTGGCGGGGCTGGATGGGGCGTGTGGAGCGCTTGGGAGGGAAGCGTGGCGGGAATGGCGTGGCGGGGATGACGAGGCGGGAAAGAGAAAAGGCACTGGGCACTGTAAACAGATTACTTGAAAAGAAGTATAACTTTCTGCAAATCACAGTCATCAATGATGAATCAATAGTATTCTATTCTCATGGCATTGGCCTACTAGTATTTTCTTACTACTTTTTCTACTAACATTTCCACTATTATTACATGGTAATGTTTCATTAATGACTAGCAGGAAAGATTTTAATGAAATACCACTATAAATTTATTCCCACTTTAGAACAAATTGCCATTTAGTAAAGAAATT